AGGACGTTGTGATACACAGTCGGCAATAATGTAAACCTTTTGAGGGCCAAAGTCAATCTTTCATAAAATAAAGAGTTTTCCAAACAATGGACGTGTTTCCAATGGAAAATAGGGGTTAATTGGTCGTTCTTAACACTGATCGATTACGGGGTTGAAGTAAATTAAATTACTTTTTAAAACGTTGTGCGCTATATTACCTGCACGAATGGCCTCAGTTAATAGAAAGTGCTGTTTATGTGCAATTTGAAGGCTATAATATTCACACGAGTGTAACGATCTGTCACGCGCTTCTACCGTATAAATACCCGTTTTAAATTGACCACATTACAAAAGCATTTTTCACGCTCTTACTTTGAAAGTTCCAAGTTGTCTTGATTGGTAAGTGTGATTCCATATCTTGTAAAGTCATTTTCATCATCATTTTGTAGTTTTGACTTGTTCGTATTCGAATTCGGGGTAAAATCGTCGATTTGACGCCTTTTGTACCAAACGTTGTGTATATAAAGTAAAGACAACCACCAATAGTACGTCAAACAAGTGTGTACTAATATATTATTACTACAAATCATGCTCCTATTTGCCGAGATTACATGCGTTCTCTAATGCTCTGATATCATAGTATTATTGTCTATTGTTTTGTGTCAACCTATCTAGCAATTGTATGCCTACATTGTTTAACATTATTAAGATTCGAAAACAAAACGAAATAATGTTATTTTTCAATCATTATGTCTTAATTTCTTTTGTGAACCTCCCTGGCGAAACTAGTCTGGAATTCAGCCATTCGGAGTACCCTTCCCATGCACTGTTCTCGAGAATGGTCTGGTGAATCGCTACGAAAATAAAATACGTAGACGGCACACAAGTCTGTGTCATCACTGATTGGTTGTCTGCACGACTTCCGTAAATTACCATGGGAACTCGCATGCGCAGATTGACCCGCCCACAGCCCTCCAGACCGATTCACTAGTCTATTTGTCGCAGATATTTCAAAGTCTCACGATAATAGACGGCATCTAGTCTACAGCGAACACGCCGGTGAATCTCCGGGGCGAATATGAATCCCAGTATACATGACGTTCAGAGTTCCTGGGACTCCCCTCGCAAATAGGGTTTGATTTTGGTGTTTTGGTACTTCGAATGATTCATTTTCTTGAAAATGTACACCTTTAAAGTCTTTTAAAAAAGCCATGTTTGTTTGGGCATGGGTATAATTCGGTGTACTTATTTGTCAACTTGAGCATTTTTTCAGCCGTGTCTTTTCGGTACATTTTTACTTTTTCTTAAATGTTCTAACATTTCTTCCCCGTAACACATTGCATGCATTTTTTCTCTCGGTATCTAGCTCGCATTTTTTGGAACAAATTTTTCAGCCACTCAAGTAATTTAAAATGATCGACCCTATATTTGTTGCCACTTCCTCCGCCAACTGTGACTGGGCGTTTTCCGTCATGCGTTTTACCGAATTAAAAGACACGGCCTCGCGCATGTGCGGGTTTGTTGGGAACAATGTTAACATCGAGCTCGCAATCGATGTAATTTGGGAGATGAAACAGGTCGTTGTTGTAGATTTTAGAAATAAGTAATAAACACGTGGTTTATGTTATCGTACCTTTTCCACAACCAGCCACACTTTTTAAACTATTTGCGACTGTAAATTGATTATAACGAAAGCATATTATACACATAACCCTTCAATAGGGTGATCAAATACACTCGTTACTTTTTGACGGATTAACGAATGCACTTATAAAGCACTACACTCGTCGTGCAGCGCCTGTTCAAATTTCATGTAAACAAACAATGTATTTTACACGCGTTGTATACGTCGAGTATGAGCCTATAAAAAACACGACGCTGAGTGACAATTGTAACGCATTAAATTTGCATTCCATGGAAGTAAAATGATTGCAACATCAATCTGATACAAGATATATATATTTCATTATATTTTTATACCATTTTTCTGAAAATGGTTATTTTGTTTACCTTCAACACCTAACGTACGTAACTTGATTTCAGTCGCCATGCAACATGTTTTCTGCAACGCACGGGTTCACTCACTACTACTCATTCGTACGTACAACAAAACAGATGACGTCAGCTTCCCCCATGTTTTCTGTAACGCACGGGTTCACTCACTACTACTCATTCGTACGTACAACAAAACCGATGACGTCAGCTTCCCCTATGTTTTCTGTAACGCACGGGTTCACTCACTACTACTCATTCGTACGTACAACAAAACCGATGACGTCAGCTTCCCCCATGTTTTCTGTAACGCACAGGTTCACTCACTACTACTCATTCGTACGTACAACAAAACCGATGACGTCAGCTTCCCCCATGTGTTCTGTAACGCACAGATTCAAACACTACTACTCATTCGTACGTAAAACAAAACCGATGACGTCAGCTTCCCCCATGTGTTCTGTAACGCACAGATTCAAACACTACTACTCATTCGTACGTAAAACAAAACCGATGACGCCAGCTTCCCCCATGTGTTCTGTAACGCACAGATTCAAACACTACTACTCATTCGTACGTAAAACAAAACCGATGACGTCAGCTTCCCCCATGTGTTCTGTAACGCACAGATTCAAACATACTACTCATTCGTACGTAAAACAAAACCGATGACGTCAGCTTCCCCCATGTGTTCTGTAACGCACAGATTCAAACACTACTACTCATTCGTACGTACAACAAAACCGATGACGGCAGCATAATTATTTTTTATAGAGACCATCATGAGATTGTTAATGGTTGTAGCTTTCGTATGTGCTTTGACTGGACGAACTTTAGGTAAGTACGCCTCGATTGTCAAAGCGCGGGAGGTGTTTTTTTTGGGTTCATCAATAATTATAAGGCGTCAACATATTTACTGCTTTGTTTCAATCATAATTAATACATGTTCATATAAATCGCCCTCTAGCGACACAACTATTCCGTGACGTAAAAAATGACGTTACCGGTTGTTAAAAAAATGTTGTGCAATAGACAACCCTGTTTTGTTGATGGTAAAGCTTTAAAGCATGATATAGGTCATTGACCAATCGAACGGCGTCTCTTAGAGACACTAAAAACACTGGAGCGTCATGTCGCTTGAGGGCATGCTTCAAATTTGTACAATCGTGATTATGATTACTGTGAATATATTATTTATTCACTGGGTGTAAACTTCGTTGGATTAAATTCACAAGAATATGTCAAAATTACAATACAACTCATTATACTATGGTAAATTTGTGAATTTAAAACCATGTGAAATGCACACAATATCACAATTGTGAAATTTAATGCCAGTAAAAATACAGGGTTTACAGTGATTTTTGATTCACAGGTAAAATAAAACAAAAACCCTAACATTTATTGAACATGTAATTTAGAAAAAAACAACCTTTAGAACCCCGTGGGCAGGTCAGTCACATTGGTTCTCACTGCAAAAGGTTACAACCTCCCCTGCCAAATTCTAGGGCAAATTAAAAATCATATACAAACACATAACGTGTTGTGTAATAACATACAAACAGACGACATTGGATGGGATGTATTGAAGTAGACACTGACATGAAACAACAAGATTGAACCAAATGATAAAACAAAACAAAACACACCCAACTATACATCCAATTGATGGCAAAATAGTCATAATGACAATCTTCTTAACAAACTTTTCCTATTGACTAAATTTAATTTGTGTTAGCCTTGTTACCATGGTATCTTCCACTGCTTACGCACTCTTCATTAATATCTGACGTTTCTGCTAATATATTGCTGCCCATCACGTAATGTATTGAAATGAAAAACACAATTAAAGCTAAAAGTAGCACTAGACCAATCAACACTTTCCTATATCGAGGCTATGAGCAACACTATGTCAATAAATACACATTTGATTTTTTTTGGATATTCAGTTATTGAAGCTGTGATCAATACTTGGTCAATAAACATAAATGTCATTGTTTCAGTTATTGAAATTAAAGCTATGATCAACACCAGGTCAATCAACACACATTTAATTTGATTGGAGATGCAGTTTTTAAAATTAAAGCTATGATCAACACTAGGTCCATCAACACACATTTAATTTGATTGGAGATTCAGTTATTGAAGCTCACTAAGTCAATCAAAACACGTTTGATTTGATTGGAAATTCAGTTATTAAAATTAAAGCTATGATCAACACTATGTCGCCATCGATTGATTTACTAGTCTGGCACATTGAGGATTTTGGATTCGATTTTTTCACATACGGTTGTTGATTGATGTTTTGTTTCTCCAATTTATACTCACTCTAGTTTTATTTGTTCTATGGATCCAATTTAAAAGTGGTAACTTTGGAGTTCCATCTATTTCACTTTCTCTGAATTAATTCGTTTGAATGTTTGTGAGCCTTTTCCCCATGGCAGATCCGTATAATGTCATTTGAAAGACTGTGTGCTGGGAACCACGTGGCTAATCGTCGAAAATACCCAATTTGCATATTAGTGTAGCATACTGAAAGGTCTGTGCTCGAATCCCGTATAAGACTGACGACTGGAGTTGTTCGCGTAGTGTTGATCTGATGTTTAATATTTAACACAGTGTTGATCTTATGTTGATGATTGCTCGTTGTTTCGTCCACTCATGTAATTCGTATACTCACTCTACCTGCATCTTTATCTGGGTTCATCACATCTACTTAAATAATAGTAACCTATCTGACCGTGTCTGACAATCACCAGCAACAGTGATAACAAACAACTCTTTGCCGGAGAGCGCCAGTGAAATTAGGCGGGTTACATCTGTGTAAATCTTGGACAAAGCATTTGTCTGAATTTGCGATTATCGGATAATTTTCGGAGTGGTTATTGTTGTTGTTGTTTTTTGTGGTGGTGGTATTGTTCTAATGATTCGTCATCTATTATATTGTGTAGGGGATGTCGCGTACAAGATGAATATTAACCTTGACTTAGATGGCACTGACTCTGACATTGCAATTAAAATGTACGGCGGTGGACCGATTCCAGCAGGTTGTGGCTGTTACAATTGCCATAGCAACAGCAATTGTCCGCCATGCGGTGGTCAGTGTTAACTCAGTTTTAATATGTTTACCATGTTGGCAGGCGACTGCAGATCCAAAAAATATTGACTTATTGAACTTCTTTCGTTTTATCAATTTACATTGAAAGCGGGCGCTACTAATAGTAACCGGGTTATATTAAGTCGCAGCTTCCTTGGCATATACTAGTAAGTATGGACAAAATTAATGAATGAATAAATAAATGTTTTTTTTGTCTTTCCAGCGATTGGTTGCCCATAACGAGCTGTGATGATTTATAGCATTGACTGAGAATGTAATGAGGGATAAGAAGAATGGCGTTACTATTTGCATACATCGATAACAGATACAATTCATGTTATTTATTATAGTTTATACAATAAAGCATTACATATACTATTACATTGTTTAATGAGAATTATTGCCGACTTTAACCGTATTTTAAATATTTTATAGCATTGCAATACGTCTTTCCAACAACGGTGTAAGCACTTTTATTAATTTTAACAAATTTAAAAAAAAAATCAACTGGTTTTAATCACAACACAGAACACACAATCATTTCAATGGAAACCGAATTATATTGACAAGACATTGCGACTGAAAAAGAAAAATTGTTAACTACCCCGATTTTGAAATTATATGCACTGAAATATAGAGTATGTTTCGTTTATTACATATTTCTTTCTAAACAATTGCATTATTACCAAGTGTAACCATGATCAATGGTGCGTTCCAATGTATAATACATGCATCCACGCAGCAAATATATAGCCACCATTGCATTCATGTTCTTTATATAACAGTAATTGACTCACGCTGTAAATCTACAGCCTTAGCCATCTATGCACTGACGTACCTTTGTATAACTGTACTTGGCTCATTTTGTAAATCTACAACCTTAGCCATCTATTCGCTGACGTACCTTTATATAACTGTACTTGGCTCATTTTGTAAATCTACAACCTTAGCCATCTATGCACTGACGTACCTTTGTATAACTGTACTTGGCTCATTTTGTAAATCTACAACCTTAGCCATCTATGCACTGACGTACCTTTGTATAACTGTACTTGGCTCATTTTGTAAATCTACAGCCTTAGCCATCTATGCACTGACGTACCTTTGTATAACTGTACTTGACTCATTTTGTAAATCTACAGTCTTAGTCATCTATGCACTGACGTACCTTTGTATAACTGTACTTGGCTCATTTTGTAACTCTACAACCTTAGCCATCTATGCACTGACGTACCTTTGTATAACTGTACTTAGCTAATGTTGTAAATCTACAGCCTTAGCCATCTGTGCACTGACGTACCTTTGAATAACTGTACTTGGCTCATTTTGTAAATCTACAACCTTAGCCATCTGTGCACTGACGTACCTTTGTATAACTGTACTTGGCTCATTTTGTAAATCTACAACCTTAGCCATCTATGCACTGACGTACCTTTGTATAACTGTACTTGACTCATTTTGTAAATCTACAACCTTAGCCATCTATGCACTGACGTACCTTTGTATAACTGTACTTGGCTCATTTTGTAAATCTACAACCTTAGCCATCTATGCACTGACGTACCTTTGTATAACTGTACTTGACTCATTTTGTAAATCTACAACCTTAGCCATCTATGCACTGACGGACCTTTGTATAACTGTACTTGGCTAATGTTGTAAATCTACTAATCTTCTGTGATTGTTTTTGGCCCGGCTAATTGTGTTCAAATCTGGAAAAAAAATTGGCTCATCGTTGCCATGGCAAATACAAAATTGATTTTTTAGTACCTTCGCACCAATGTATCTTCTCTTACAAACTCAGATTAATACCCGTGGACATATCTCATTCTACTCAGCTAGAGTGTGAACCAAAATGTTGTAAACATTTTTGTTGTTTTTTCATTGCCGGAAAATTTTACTTTGAATTTGGAATAACGTTTCGCCAGTGAAGTATTGGTAGAACTTGACAGGCAGGTACACCTGCACTCTACAAAGGTGGAAAATTTTTTTAAAAATAGCTGCTGCCATGACAACGGGCGAAAATTTGATATGATGGTCGTAGCGTCAGGCATAATATATCCTTATAAAAATCTTTGATTCAAAATCTCGGACATATCTCATATCTAATTTGCTTGAGTGTGTGCTCTATCATTACCATGACAACAGCTGATTTGTTTAGCGTTGTAAATCACCAATCAACCTACCGGCTTGTTGCAATTGTTTGTTATTCGATGTCACAAAAAACTAATGGCGCACCATGTTTCAGTGTTACTGAAAATGATTCTGTCATTCCCGTTGGCAGCGAGGCTTTGGTTGCTGGTAGCCAAAGCAAGGTGAAATTAGCGATAGTTTGTTGATTTGTTGGTCAAAACTACTGGTGTCTTTCGTTTGGATGATTTAGGGAAGGTGGATCAAATAAAACACGAGATAGTAGTACGAAAACCAGTACGACAAGTCCCATACCATACTCTAATATGGAAACACAATGAGATAGAGAGACAGACAAAAGATCTCTTGGATAGGGGATTAATTGAGAGGTCTATTTGTCCTTGGGTCTCCCCAGTAATCTTGGTGCAAAAAAAAGATGGGACGCAAAGGTTGTGCATAGACTATGTACATGTAAAATAAATTCAGTTACAGTCCAGGACAGCTTTCCTCTCCAAAGGATAGATAATGCTTTGGAGTCACTCACAGTCAAAATGGTTTTCTACGTTAGATTTACAATCAGGATATTGGCAAATTGAACTAGAGTAAGAGTTTGAACTATACGCTGCCTTTTGTATATAAGGGTTATACAAGTGGAAGGTGCTTCCATTGGTGTAAACACTTTTGAAAGAACTATGAAACGTTGTTCCAGTGGTTTGTCATGGAAATTCTTAATCTTGTATCTGGATGACATTGTATTCGCCAGAACAGTTTAGGAGGAGTTGAAGTGATTAGAATTGATTTTTAATCGGCTGGGTAAAAACTAAAACCTAACAAATATGTGCTGTTGAATTTATGAGTCACAGAATCGCAGAATATGGAGTTGAGACAGATACAGGAAAGGTGGATATAATACGCATTGGCCTATACCCAGTTCTGTGACAGAGTCTCGTTCTTTAATTGGTTGACAAAGAAGAACGTTTTTTTTTATTGGGCAACGCACAGTCCCTCTATCACAGAGGGACTGTGGGCAACACAATGCCAAAATGGGCTTTGTCAGCTGCAGAGCGCAGATATTGTGTGACCAGAAGGGAGTTGCTGGCAGTTGTAAATTATGTCAAATACTATCGTCATTATTTGTTAGGAAGAAAGTCTACACTTCAGACAGATCATGCTTCTTTAACATGGTTATTGCGATTTAAAAATCAGAGTCAGCTGGCTAGCTGGATTGAATTATTGCAACAATTTGATTTCACCATTGTCCATAGGCCAGGCAAACGTCATGGCAATGCAGATGCATTAAGTAGAGCACCTACTTATAGATGTAAACAATGTGGTCAGATTGTCCCAGTGTAAGGCCTGCTTATCGCAATTGAGAGGGCCACCCACAGAACTCACACTGGACAGGGGGTTCTTTTACTGCTATAATGGGGTAGACAATACAATAGTACTGAAAATGAAATACACATACACCAAAATATCGAGTTAAAGCTCATGGCTTTAATACCTCTCAAAATAATTACAAGAAATAGAGCACAGAAAAATACAATGAATAAAGTCACTAAAATAGGGGATTGCTTAGGGAAGTGTGCATTGGTGATAACTCACAGTTCCAGGATGAAATAATGGACGACAGTCAGTGGCTTCTGCAACACAACAACGAAGAAATACAGAAGTCTTGCTTGCAGAGCAACGCAGGTATTCTGGAGGGCACCACTGGAAGCAGGAGATCGCAGAGCAGTTCATACAAGTCTCACAAAATGATGGTTGTAGCCTATATCACTTGTCACACAATATTGTAGCAGCACACACTGGATACCAAGTTGAAATGATGGACTCCAGCTGTTCTGAGTCTATCCAATTTATAGGCATGGTTCAGTGCACCACCTGGGTTTCCACATGAGCCAATCAGAGTGTGATCTTGTTAGCAGCTGTGTCATGTAGATCATAAACATCTTTTGTTATTCAAATAACAGCACACCTGGTAGATTCCAATTCTCCTTCCAAAATTGTAAACACCCTTTGTTATGTAAATCGCAAGCAAACCTGGTAGATTCCACTGTTCTTCCAGAATTGAAAACAAGTATGACCTGTCAATCACTTTTATCACACGACAATGCACACAGTCTTCCCAGGATTCCGTGCACACTTCTATTTGCAGGGTTTGAGGTAATATGACAAAAACATAAAATAAAGAATGCTGATATTGCCCCCTCATCAAGACTGAACATGACACATTTTCAGTCCAATAATCCACGTAGAACAAACCACAGTCCCTCAACTTAACTGAAGGACTGTGAACAAACTCCCAGAAAGCAAATCGCATGAAGACAATGTCATTTAATGTGAGCGTACCATAATCCGTTAATTGTTAAACCACCTATGTTTTGAGCTACATATTATTTCTTGTGTCCCGCGATTTATGAAGCCCCAATAGGACTATTTGTATTTTAAAATGCAGATTGAAATTGGTGACCTTTTAGATCTACATCAACGTTCCTTGTCGATCTTGTTCTATTGTAATGTACTGCCAGTAACTTAGAAAGTACATTATCTAAACACATGTTTTCTGAGATAATGTCCGCCGGGATCTTGCTCTGCCGGAATCCAGTAAATCTCAAATTCAGGTTAACTTCAAAATATATTTCGTGCTCGTAGGATTAGCGAAGGTGCGGGTTAAACCCACACCTTATCCAAGGCCACTACACAAAATGTCAATAGTCGCTAAAGTGTTAATTCAATAGACAAACATACACATTTTACAGAGGGCGCACAACCATTCAATCGTGTACGTAAGCCATGAAAAGGAGCTATTTTAGCTTCGCATGAGTTGTAAAGTTTAACTGGATATGCGATCAGCGAGGGGGCAATAACAGAAGTAATGTTGTTTTTTGTCACTACGAATGCGTATGTAACAAATGATCATATGTCGGCATATTTTTGTAATGTATACTTACAGTCGCTAGACAAGCACTCCGCCACAATCGAATCGTTGAGTATTAGTTCAAACGACATCGTGACCAATATAAATATATACACGGGACAAAATATATATAGGTGACGATAAATTAGTAAATTATAAACCGATTCGTTAGAAACTTATTTCTATAGTCTTTAAACCGGGCCATGGAAGCAGGTTTATATGAAAAGTGAATGATTTCTACCATGTCAAACCAGTAGTGCGGCAGTTCAAGGTGCGTGATTTCCGTATAGTATCAACGTAGTATATCAGTTCTTTAAGTTCAGCGTAA